AGTATGGGTAGCCCTGTCATGCAGCAACCCAAGAAGAACAATGTCATGGCCCGGACAAGGTAGAGGCCCCACCCCACCCCACCTGGACCCTGCCAGCCAGCATGTATCTCTCCTGGTCCTGAGCCTTCCCCACTTCCCTCCTTCCTCAGGCCCAGCCCCTCTCTGAGAGGAGAGAATCTCAACAGGGTCCAAGGGGGTGGGGGGAGGGAAGTGGTGGGGCAGGGCCCAAACCAGTCCCTTTCCAGGCTTGTGTGACCCAGTTGCCAATCCAATCCCCCAAATTCTCCACACAGGCTGGTCGTTCCCAATAAAGGCTATTCTTCGCTTGACCAGAGCCCAGATGAGAAGCCACTGGTAGCCCTTGACACTGACAGGTGTGTACAGGGATGTTGGGGCAGCTGGGCAAGCCACAGGAATCTGGCTGATGTATGAACATGGAGTGGACTGTACAGGCCACAACTGTTCTATTGTCAGAATTCGGATGTTCTTTGGATAGCCAGGAGTTCTCCCAGGGAGTGGAATTTTTTTTACCCAGAGATGGGGAAAGGCAGAGAGAGGAAAAGCGGACTGACACAGTCTGCTGCGGTCCGGGACAACTGATCCAATGGCTGTCTTGAGAATGGGCCCTGATTCGATGCTTACTGCCCTGTCCCCTGCAAGGGAACAGCCTTACCACTGGGCACACACCTGGCTGACCAGGACTTTGGGAAACCTGACAAGCCAGGGTAATTTGAGCCTAGAGAAAGAGGGGGAGGGTTGGGGAAAAGGAATAGCATCTTTATTTAGGAAGTTAAAGGTGACAGTTTATTTAGAAAGGCGGTGGGGGGTGGGGGGCTAGGGGACTTATCTTAAAACTGCATTTGCACAGCAAGCACAGTTTTTACTTAGACCATGCTGTTTATTTGGAGGTGTGGGGGAGGGGTTGGTGTTGACTGATGGGGGTGGGAGTGCAGGGAGTTTTCTATTTAATTTCCAGAAATCACTTCCCCTCTGTCTTCTTTCCTCCATGGCTAGCGATGATGACTTTGACATGTCCAGATACTCCTCCTCTGGCTACTCCTCTGCTGAGGTGAGGCCCCACCCTTCCCACCCTAGACACACCCCTCCTCCTGGGAGAAGGGATAGGATCTGGTGCCAAATCACACCCGAGGGGAGCTATGAGCAAAGCTAGGCAGAGCCCCTGTGGGAGCAGCAGGGACTTAACAGGGTACGGCCTGGGAAGGCAGTCTGAAAAAAGGTGAGGTGGCCAGACTCTGGCCTCAAGTTAGTGGGTGCTGGGGTTTGAGGCGGGTTCAGCCCAGGGTGAAATAGAATGCAGTGTGAAAAACAGGTGACACCTTATGAAGATGGGCTTGAAATAGGGGCAGGGCCCTGACAGAGGCAGGACCTGAGGTGAGAAGTTGCCCTTAGAATGGGGTGGGGTGTGTCACAAGGAAGGGTCTGTAAAGAAAGCCAGGCCACAACTGAATTAGTGGTGAAGCCAGGGATATCAGAGAGAGCTGGGAGGGGATGGCTCTGGGGGGATGAAGGCCTGGGGATGCCACCAGGCTGTGGTTGGTGCCTCTGGGTCGCCCTGAGCCTGACCTCCCTCCCCTTTGTCTACAGCAGATCAACCAAGATTTGAACATCCAGCTGCTGAAGGATGGCTACCGGTTAGACGAGATCCCTGATGACGAGGACCTGGACCTCATTCCCCCCAAGTCTGTGAACCCCACCTGCATGTGCTGCCAGGCCACGTCCTCCACTGCCTGCCACATTCAGTAGCGGGTAGGGCTGCCACAGTCAACGGAGCCGGGCCACCGCGGGCCAGGTCAGACTGGGCAGGGGCCGACCCCTCCCCAGCTCCTCTGCCTGCCCCCCGGCCCTGCGTCCCCTACAGCCACCAACCTCGTAAAAGTCATTGCTTCCTCCTATGGTAGGACGTGTACCTCTGTGTGTTCATGGAGCCGGAGAAACCAAAACCGGGTCTCTCTCCACCCCAGGGGCTGAGGAGGGGAAGGGGCTGTTTTTTCAGTTACTTGGGGGACTTTGCCCAGCACCTTGTCCACCTTCCCAAAGCTGCAGTCCAGTGGGGGAGTGGGGGGCTGGACAGCAGAAGGCTGACAGTAGTGAAGTGGGGAGAGGGATCAAAGCCAGGGGCTTGGCCCCACCCCAGCAAAGCCATGAATCCTCCAGCCCAGTAAGGAAAAGGGCTTTGAGGGAGAAAGGCCCCAAGGCAGTGGGGCAGGGCCCAGTACCTTAGAGCCCCCTCCAGCACCCCCTGCCTGCCCGTGTACCTATTTGCATTTCTCCCCTCATCTCTAGATGGGAAGCCTGGCAAAGTCGCCCAGTGGAATATTGTCCCCCACCTATCAGATCACTGCCTTCTTCCTTCTCTTTGCTCTATTCACCCCTTCCTCCCTTGTTCTCTTAGTTCTCTTAGAAAGTAAAGTGGGTCTTAGAAAGAGGCCAGAATTTGGGATGGTTGAGATGATATGATCTATTCTCACCGGCCCCTAACCAATTCATCTCTCTGCCAATACACCTCCCCACCCCGTCCCACTCCCAGACACACACACACAGTTTCTGTTCATTGGCCTCTGTCCCAGGCTGGAAGCAGGAGGTAAGGTGGGCCTCGAATGCCCTATTCCCATCTCAGTCTAGCCTAAGATTTCAGATCCTTCTCCCCAGTGCGAATTTTTAAGGAAGCAAGCTTAGGAGAACACTGTGGCCACATGTGTGTGGCAGGGAGAGCTTGGCAGACTGTGTGTGTGCCTGAAGCTGTGCAGGTGTGCTTCTGTGTCTCTGTGTTGGGCCTGTCTTTCTAAATGTCTGTTTCTGTCAGAGATGGTGAGGAAGTGGCTGTGTGGTCTGCTAACAGTGTGAGAGGCTGTGCAGCAGTGCAGTGGACTGAGAGCCCTGCACTGGGGGTCAGAAGCCTGGGTTCTAGTCCTGGCTCTGGCACTGTCCCTGTGGTCTTCAGCAAGCCACTTGTGTTCACTGGGTTTCAACTGTAAAATGAGCAGCGTCTGAAATTATTAATGTTCTGGAGGAATTTTTGATAGGCATTTCTGTGGAGGTATAGAGGGAACTCTCTGTATGTCTTTGAGTATACCTGGGAGGCTTCCTGAGTTGTATGTCCGTGTGAAAGGAGAAGGGGAAGGTCTATGGGACCTGCGTATGTCCTGAGTGCATGCAGATCTATTGGGAATGCACGCGTGTGTCTATGAATGCGTATATGTATGTGGGTATATAGTATGTATGTGAGTATATATAGTGTGTGTAGCTATATGAGGTGTCTATGAGTCAGAATGTGTGTATTACTGCTTCTGCTGCCATTGCTGGAGTGGGGAAGATGCCAGAAAAGCTGATGATGAAAGTCAAGATGGAGGAGGTGATCAAGGCCCTCCCCTGGGACTGGGCAATATAGACCTGCCCCCATATGAAGAAAAATGAAAGCACAGTTAGCCTAAGACCGCTCAGGTCTATGCCCCACAAACCACATATCCCAGGGCCAGGGTGTATGCCCGCCATTCTTCAGTGCTGTCATCCCACAGCCCCTTCTCCGGATGCCAGCCTTGGGAGGTGGGACCTGGAAGGGAGAGAGGGCAATGAGAGGAAAGAGCAAGGCTGCTAGCTTAGGAAGGGTAGCAGCTCTCCCTGCACCACACCCAGGGGCTACCAGCTTCAAAGTGCTGAGATGCAGCTCTCCACCCTCAATTCCTCCAACCCACCCCTACCTCCTCTAGTACAGTGGCCCTGGTTAGATGAAGAGAAAATGCCAAAGGGAGGCAAGGACAGAGACGGTCCCTGTGGGGCCCACAAGGCCCATACCAGCCCCCATCTGTGCCCATCTCTCCCACTCTGGTCAGATCCCTACACCCTGTCATCCAGGCCCCAGAGCCAAGCCTCCTACTACTGTCACCACCACCTGGGCTCCTTGACTCACCCTTCCAGAACATGGGTACCTCCTCTTTTCCAGACAGGGCCGCCTCCAGGGCTCATTCAGACCTTTGCTGCTGATTTCCCGTGTGACTATGGCCCTCTGGCCCTGAGGAATTAGGGAAAAGCTCCCTTTTCACAGGACATGCCTAGTTTCCTGGCAGGCAAGAGTTTCTAACTAGAGCAGTGTACAGGTAGGTGGTGGGGAGAGGTAGAAAGCTGGCAGCCAGCACCTTCTGGGTCTAGGAAGTGTCTTGGAGGATGAAGGGGAGGACTTGAGGCCTTAGCTTGCCCCCTGCCACCCTTCCCCCTTGTAGATACTGCCTTAACACTCCCTCTACCCTCAGCTCTGGCTGCCACCCAGCCAGGTTTCTCCGCGCTCACTAATTTATTTCCAGGAAGGTGTGTGGAAGACATGAGCCGTGTATAATATTTTTTTTAACATTTCCATCGCAGTATTGACCATCATCCTTGATTGTGTATCGTGTAACACAAATAATGATATTAAAAGCATCAAACAAGCCAGCCTCAGCTCCCTACCTGGGGTGTGGGCAAGGGGCACATGGGCTGGGAAGGGGAGAAAGCTGATCCTCTGAATGTACATTTCACTCTACCTCCGTTCATGGGTTCCCAGGCCAGGCCTGCCACTGACCTGCTGCATGACCTTGGTGAGTCACTTGGCCCCTCGGAACCTCCCTGTCTCTTCATCAAAGTGAGAAGCTTGGCATAGATCTCCAGGGGCCTCTGAACTCCTAGAAATTGGGCTCTATTTAGAGGCTTGAAGGAGGAAGAGACTGAAAGTAGGGAGAGAATTGGCCTTACCTCTCCAGGGCTGGGACTAAGCCAGGTGATATCATAATGGGCAGTGCCCACCCTGGAGAGGGAAGCGGGGTGGGGTAGAAGCAGGAAGGCTGTGGGAGAGGGATGTTGAGAGATCCTTCACATGAGCAGGGGTCACAGCAGCTAGGGGCACCTGCTGGGCTAGAGGTGTGGGCTTTCTGGGAGAGGGGATGGTCACTGATGGTTTGCGAGGAGCCCTTGGTAGGTAGAGCCCACCACAGCACTCCCTAAACCCCACCATGTTCCTCTTCTCCCAAAAGACCAAGACCCCTATCAGCACCTACACTGACTCCTACAGGGCTCCTACCTCCATCAAGGAGGTCTATAAGGACCCACCTCTGTGGGCCTGGGAAGCCAACAAGTTTGTGACCCCGGTAAGTAGAGGTTGGGGGGACAGGCCAGTGTGTACGGCCATGCCTGTCTGGGTGAACAGCAGTGTGTGGCTGTCATTAAGTTTGTAATTATTTGTAGCTTTGCATGTGTGTTTTTTATTCTTTTGCCTAGGTGTGGAATTTATAATAATATATAAAATAGTACAAGATCCTGCCTTCATGGTGCCTACTACACCAGGGTAGGAGATGGAAAGAGTTAGATAATAATCAAGAAATGAACAAGACATTTATAAATTATCGAAAGCACTATAAAAGGAAGAGGGTAATGGAAATGGAAAGTAACCAGAGAGAGCTACTTAAATAGAGAGGTCACAGAAGACCTAGATGAGAGACCTAGATGAGAGCCGTGTGAAGGGCTGAAAGAATAGAGTTCCCGGCAGGACGATCAGGAAGTGCAAAGGTACCGAGGCTGCCAGTGGGATATGCCAGAAAATGTCCAACGGGCATGTTTTCATGCATGTGTATCACAGTCTCCTTGTAGATGTGTGTCTGTACTTGAAGACAGGTAGCCAAGTGTGTCTGTGCAGCTTGCACAAAATGGAGAGATTTGTGAATCTAACTGACTGCCTAAGGGAATTTATCTGTGTGCACCATCCAACAAACTTTGTTGGGGATCTACAAGTGCCAGGCACAATGTGGATACAACAATGAAGGGCCCAACCCTGCCTTTCAGAAACTCTCAGCAAACAAATGAACTAAGTAGGGTTGCCCCGTGCGGAACAGCAGAGGCATAGGCGCTGGTATAAGAGCTGGGAAGGGGAGAACATTCCCAGAACTTGAAAGGCAGATCTACTAAGAGAGCCAGGGGGAGGGGGCTTCCAGCAGAGGAAAGGCATAAGAAAGGGCAGCCTGAGGGCAGGGACCCACCAAGAACTGAGAACTGCTGGAGCACCCGGAGAGGCTTGCCCTACCATAAGAGAGGAACCTGCGACCACAGAGGGCCTCAGGCTGTGTTAAGCAACTAGAACATAATGCTCCAGGTTTTTTAATCTGTGAGTGACATGATTAGATTGTGAGTTATGCCACTCCAGCTACAGTGGCAGGAGATTGGAGGGGCTGGGGCTGAGGGCAGGAAGCCCAGTGAGATGGTAAAGGATGAGGGAGGAGGATGTAGGTGAGAGACGAGGAGACACTGTGGCAGTGAAAAGGGACTTTGTTGGATAAAAGAGAATTTTTCTTTTTTTAAATTTATTTTTCAATTACAGCTGACATATCCTCCACTTTGATTGGAAGTCCTAAATATAGGCAACAGTTTTTAAAATAATTTTTATAATTATAAAATAAATATATGCTCAATGCAGAACATGGTGATAACTCAAAGAGACACAAAGAAAAAGCCTATAATCTCACTACCCTAAATAACCACTGTTAATTTATTATTACATGCTCTTAGGAAGCAAATATTTTTTATGAAAAAGGTGTCATATTGTATACTAATATTTTTAATCTTGAAAGTTTTTTAATATATAGCCATATATCAGGTCATTTTCCTCATCCAAAACATTTTATAATTTTCATGACCTTAGGTATTTTATTTTATGCATGTACCAAAATATATTTAAGAAGTCATATATTATTGGAAGTTTAGAGTATTCATATAATTTTGCTAATACAAAATTATCTTTGTATACATCACCTGTTCCCTAAGAATAAATTCCTAGACATTAAATTGGTAGGAGAAAAGATATACACATTTTTAAAACTTTTCATATATACTTCAAATTGCTGTAAAAAGGTTTGTGATAATTTACATGCCCACCAGCAAAATATGAGAGTGCCTGCCTGCTCTTCCATAATCGATAGAAGGAAATTTTAAGAAATAGTCAACATATCTTGGTTACCATCAGGATATAAAGAGGAGGGAAGAGATTAGGATTGATTCCTGGCTTTGGGGTTCTGGCGCCTGGAGGAACAGTAGTGCTACTAACTGAGATTTGGAATCACAGATCATAGAGAGAGATTTGGAGTTCATTTGGGACAAAAATAATTAAGGACTTTCAGAAAAAAATTCTGGTGGATAGTTGGATATACTTAGCTCTGAAGCAAAAGAAAGATGTTAGGACTCCAGATATAGATTTTTAAATCAGTGCACAGGTGGTAACTAAAGTCATAGGGATGAATAGGATTGCCAAGGAAGGGTAAGAAAATGGCCAATGACAGACCTCTGGAGAATATCAATATTTAAGGGGTAGGTAAACCAAGAAGAGCCATAAAAGGAGACAGAGTGATATGAGGAAGGTCAAAGAGAAACCAGTCAACATAGCATTGTTAGACAAAGGTCAGTATCAATGTTGTCGACACAGAAAGGAATCTCTTGGATGTAGTAACCTGGCCAGAGAGCTTCGGTGGGTAGTGAGGAGTGAAAGCCAGATAGCAGTGGAATTAAAAATGAAGGAAAGTCGTCTGTTTCTGGCAGAATGGTGGTCCAGAAACTGAAAGTTCCTCCTGCTTCAAAACAGTGAGGTCCTGCATAAAAATTAATTTTTATTTTGTTTTGGACTCTCATGAAGGTGAGTGATAAGTATACTTAAAAACTGGAGTTGCCCTGAAGACAAAAGCCAATATCAGCGCTACCAGCAGGAGTTTAAGCTTTAAGCTAGCCAAAAGGTGGAGGAACTAAACCTGTAAATTCCAAACTGAACCTGAAAGTTCAGTAACCTCTGGCTTCTTGCTCCCCAGAGTGTGCACACATACACACACATGATGAATGTATAGCTTTCATGGTGAAAAATATCTTCAATGTGTGTTTCTAGGTATCCTTCAGAGTAAGGTTAATCAAATCAGAGCTCACAATTAAGAGATATAAGAAAACAAACCACCACTGACAGCCAGCAGAAACAACAGATTTAAACCTCCAAGGACTTCAGATATTGGAATTAACAGTTAAAGAGTACAAAATAATCGTGAATTTTTCCAAATAAAATGTGGAATTATCAAAATGAGCAAACAACAAGAGATTATATATTTAAAATACCAGACAAACGTAAAGGAGAACTGAATGGGAATCTTAAAAATAAAAACTATATGTGTTAAAACCAAATATCCATCTGGGATAGTGAATGGGTTAAAGAACAGATTAGACACAGCTTAAGAGTATCAGTGAAATGAAAGAGAGAATGAAAGAAAATTTCCAGAATGCAGCACTGAGAGACAGAGAAAATATGAAACAAACATTAAGAAATGTGAAATATGGAAGAAGATCCATACACATCTATTTGGAGTCCCAAAAAGAAAAAACAGAAAGAATAGGCATCATCTAAAGAGGAAAAAGCTCTGAATTTTCCAGAACTAATGAAAAAAATTAATCTACAGTTACAGAATGAATAGAATGAATTCCACACTTAGGTACCTCACCGTGAACTGCACAACACCAGCTCCAGAGATGACCTTAAAAACAGAGAAAAGTTGTTTGCCAAGTGTTCTCATTTCAGGAACAAAATAAAGAAAAAAGATAAATACATTTCCAGGCAAACAAAAAATAAAATGTTTACTACCATCAGACCCATAGTAAAGAAAATTCTAAAGGACATACTTTGGGTAGAACAAAAATTACCACAGAAAGAACAGTCTGAGATGCGAAAAGAAATGGTGAGCTAGGAAACTGGCAAAGATGAGATAAATTTAAGCAAATAATTATAGAAAATAATTATAATGACTTATTTTTTAAAATTTATATAAAAAACCAAAATATTGGAAAACAATATCAGGTAAGTTGTATATTGGAAAATAATATCATGTAACATGCAATGATAGGAAAGGAATAAAAACCTGTCATTCACAGATGATACAGTTGTGTATATAGTATCTATAAATTACTTGTCCTGGCTGGCGTAGCTCAGTGGATTGAGCGCAGGCTGCGAACCAAAGTGTCGCAGGTTCGATTCCCAGTCAGGGTACGTGCCTGGGTTGCAGGCCATGACCCCCAGCAACCACACATTGATGTTTCTCTCTCTCTCTTTCTCCCTCCCTTCCCTCTCTAAAAATAAATAAATAAAATCTTTAAAAAAATTATTAGAATAAGAATTTAGAAAATTGGATTAATATAAAGTCAATCACAATCACATATTTACATCAACAAATATTTAGGAAACAATTTAAAATATACATATTCTGGCAACAAAAATAAAAGTAGAAATAAATCTGTGTGCAGACTATATGAATTATATTATAAAACTTTGAATATTTTTAAAAATACTTAAATGGAGAGATATCACATGCTTGTGGATAGGAAAAGTCACTAAAATAATCTCAAGATCTTTTTCAAGAATTTGACAAGCTGTTTCTAAAATTTATAGAGAGGATCAGAGGCTCAAGAAATAGCTAAAACACACGGAAAAAAGAAGAGGACTTGCCAATTAGATATTAATATTTATTATCAAACTATATAAATGCATTAAGCATACTATTACTGTATGGATAGGCAAATTTATTAATGAAATAAAACAGATCAGAATTGGAGCCACACACATATGGAGACAATATCCAACAGAGTTGACGGAAAATAAAGCTATGGGAAAAGTTATGTCAGGCTTGGTGTCACAAATCTGTGTGAGAAGATAGGTACTCAATGGGACAATTGGTTATCCATATAAACAAAACTAAAATTGATCGCTAACTCACACAGAGCAATACCTGACAGATTAAAGACTTAAATAAGGAAAGTAAAACTATAGCTTTTAGAAAAAAAAGATGTTATCTCCATTATCTTAGAGTGTGGACATATTTCTTAAATCACAAAAACACTACATAAGAGATTAGTAAATTCAACTATGTTAAAATTAAGAACTTGTGTTCATCAAAAGATTTCACAGACAAAATGAAGATATAAGCCACAAACTGAGAGAACATATTTGCAACATGTGACTGACAAAGGATTAGTATATAGAATATATAAAGAACTGTAAGTCTCAGGGTTAAGTTTAAACACATGTATTGACTCCCTCCTGAAACTCTCAACAACTACAGTAAATGGATATTTAAGACATAAACTCTCAAGAATCGTGAGAAAGAAGAGACATGGCAACAAAATTTCAGAAAGTAGGAAGTGTGATAGATAAGTAGTAACTGACTCTGCAAATCTGAGAAAGCTGAATCCAAAGTCAACAGTGAGAAACAAAAGACATAAATCAACATTAAAGTACAGAATTTTCACAAGCCTCAGGCATTATTATAATAAATACTAGGCTTCTCTGGAACTAAATATGGAAGAGGACCAAGGCTAAAATAAGGATGATTTGAAAACTGTTTAAGAAGCAGTTCATAGGGTGACTACCCACCCCATCTCTGCGAAAGTCAGAGGGCTTATTTTTTGGTGAGGATCTCAGGACTGGGGATACCAGGCCCAGTTGTGGGCAATGTACCATATTGAAAACAGGTGAACCTCTGTATACTGAATGCTAAAACCTTCAGCAGCATTCTTGTCCACTAGTTCTCAGAACACTGGCAGCTAGGTCACTACCCTCAGGCCAAAGATTGAGAGTCCCTTCTGAAAGATATGATCAGCCCAAGAGGAAAGACCTACAGATACTGACAGAGTGGGTAAAAAATAGTCTAGCCAGATCACCCTACAATGAGGCTCATGATTGACAAAGTCCACCCACAGCTCAGAGGTTCCAATAAGCTTTTTAAATCCTACTCATAAACATGAGCAGACAATTACAGATTTTATAGACATCTGAGGAAGGCTTGAATGGAAAAAGTGATCTCTGTGAGTTCTTCTAAACGACTGTCTTTGCAAATACGTGTCCATGTCTGAGTGTGTATGTATAGATGTACATTTGTAAGTGTCTATGAATGTATCTGGGTACACAGATCTATGTGTATGTGTGGACGTGTGAATGTGTGTAAAGTTCAGGGCGGGGGGTGGTGACAAGTCATAGGACTCCTCCACCCATATGAAACATGACTGGGCAGGATCTGCCCACAGAACAAAACCTCAGCTGGCACAGAGGATCCAAGAAGCCCCTTAACTGAGGGGTTTTCAGGGTGGTCTCATCCCTGGAGACCTAGGAGCAGCAAGGTCTCATCCCTGGCCAAGAGAACCCTCTCCTCGTTAGATCATAAGGGGGCAATGTGGGTGGCAGTGTCACCATCCCAGCACCTTGCTGCCCGCAATAAGGAAGTCCATTCTGGGCTTTTCTGGGTGTCCTGCCCCTGTGACCCAACTGCCTTTACATACTAGCTGCCTACAGACACCTACGGGCCCACAACTAACTTGGCATTCTGCCTTCAGCTGAGGACAAAGGAGCCCAAAGGGAGGTCTTGACCTGAGATTCCACAGATCTAGCCCAACAAGGAATTATGGGATAAGGTGAAGTGAACTGCAAGAAGCAGAGGGGCCCAGGGCCTGAACCAAGGTCAGGGTAGGATGAGGACCAAGGCAAAGTGAGTGTCAGGGTCAAATCAGAACCACTTCAGAAGCAGAGGCCCCTCCAGTCCCATTCTCCTTCAAGGTGTCAGATTTCAAGGGAGCCCGTCCTGTTAAAAATACCTACACAAGGTAGCCAGCTCCCAGGGCAGCCAGCCTTTCCTGAAGCTTAAGATTATACCAGGGGCCCCGCTCCTCTGTCGGGGGTGATCCACCAGGCCCTGCTCCAGGCAGCTCTGCCTTTAAAGAATTCCCAGTCAATAGATGAGAAATGAAAATATCAGAAAATGCCTGACTTTAGGCCCTAGCCTTGGATGGAGAGAAAAGCAAAGTGTAATTCAAATAAGAGAACTATGCAGAGGGGCCAAGACTGGCATGGGGATCCCTTTAGCATAGGGAGGGGTGTTAGGACACTGGCCAGGGCTGACCTTCTCAATAGGGGCTTGATCTAAGTCCAATAGGACCCCAAGCCTGGATGGAGTCCCTGTGTACCTAGCCATTTCCTTCACTCTTCCCTTGCACAGGGCCTGACTCAGACCAGGCAGCGCCACGTGAACCCTGAAGCCCTTCAGAAGATGGTCAAATGTGCTGTGCGGGACTATAGCTATAAGAGTTCCATACCAGGCCACCCCTACTTGCCTGAGAAATACTGGCTCTCTCAAAAGGAAGGTAGGGCCTCACCCTTCACCAACCCTGACCTCATTCAGTGACCCTAATAATGACCCCCAACCTGAATCTAACTTGAATCTTGACCACCCTGATCATACATCACTCTTATTCCCACCCATGGCCTGGGCTTCTTCTCTGACCTCACCTGCTCCAGCTCGACTCCCAAACCATCTGACCTGACACTGACCCTGGAGGTGATTCAGGCCCTGCCTTTGGGGAACTCCTTTTCTGTTGTATTTGTCTGCTTCCAAAGGACTGGAAGCTGCCTTCCAGAGAACTAGAAGAGTAAGATATGGATCTTATTCTTAGAGAGATGGAATATTAACCTCCTCCGAACAAGTCCAAGTGCCATCTCCTCTCATCTTTTTTTTTTTTAAGATTTTATTTCTTTATTTTTAGAGAGGGAAGGGAGGGAGATAGAGAGAAAAACATCAATGTGCGGTTGCTGGGGGTCATGGCCTGCAACCCAGGCATGTACCCTGACTGGGAATCAAACCTGCGACACTTTCCTCTCATCAAGTTCCATCAAGTTCCTCTCATCTTGTTCCATCAAGTTCCCCATCTCTGCTGCATCCCTCTTCCCACCACACCTCTTTCTCTCCACCTGGAAGCCTTGTCCAATATCTTCCTGCCTAAAAATTCTCTCTTCCTCCTCCCCTTCATAACCAAGATTCTCGGAAACAGACTGTGCTCCCTGTTTCTATCTACTTCCTCACTCCTTACACTTTATGAGAAACAGTCTTTCTCATTTGCTTGGGTGTTAATGGTCTTTCACTCTGTACATTCCAGAAGAGTAAAGGTTCTTGTCTCATTCACAACTATGCCCTCTCCATCTGGAACAGCACAAGGCTTCATAAGTATTTGTTGAATGAACAGATGACAACTCTTAATCTAGTTGAAATTGGGGGTCTGCATCTTCTATGCTCAGACATTAAAATTGTTCTTGTGTGGTTTTAACTACCACATCCACCAGATTTCAATCTTTACCTTATGAGACCTACCCTATGCGCTTCACTCTCTGACCACTCTCTACTTCTTGAAATATCTTCCTTCTCCAGCTTCTCTGATGCCTCAATTTCCTGGGTCTCTTGTCCACTCACTCTGGAAACATGAGGGTTCCTCAGGGTACTAATCTGAGCCTTTTCCTCTCCTTACTCCTCTCCTGAGGCCATTTTATCTAATCCATGTCTTTAATTGCAACCCCAAGTCTTTCTTTCTAGCTTTGGCCTCTCATCCAAATTCTATTCTCCATCTGACTATGGTCATCTTTACCTGAATGTCCCAAATACCCCAAACTCAGTATGTGCAACCTACCAACCCAGAACTCCCAATCCCAATACCCTGCCCCATACACACAGCTGCTCTTCCTCTAGGGCTCCTAGACCTCCATTCCTGATGTCTCTCTCTCACATGTGTTCTTTCAAACTGTTAGGAGAGTGGATTGCAGAGGGCCTTGTTGGACAGACTTAAAGGTTATTGGGTGGATGGGGCTTTGAAGGGTTTTATGTAGGGGAGTGTCCTGGTCAGATTTTCATCTGTGAAAACTGCCCAAACTGCTATGTAGAGTTTGGGTTGTAGGATTCAAAGATGAAGTAGGGAGACCAGTAGGCTAATAAAATAATAGTTTTCTAAGTCCTAAGTGTTTTACATATGTTCATTCATTTCAGTCTCACAACAGCCCTATGAAGTAGATAGCACTATTATCCCATTTTAAAACTGAGGAAACAGATATAGTGAAATTAACTCAGTGAAGGTCAATATAATTAATATCTGTAGAGATAAAACCTGAAGCCAGGCAGTCTATCTGCAGAGTCCATCCTATTAATCAAGACATTATATAGTCTCCTGGTTAAGGCACTGCGTGGATACAGGGGAGATTATAGGAGACTCATAGGATAGATTCAAGTGATTTTAAGGAGGCAGAATAAGCAAACTTTAGAGACTGGTTGTGGAAGATGAGACATAGGGAGAAACTGGGAGGAGGGCCAGTTTCCAGGTTGGTTCTATCGAGAGGGTGATGCCAGTATGAAAGTGATCAGCTCAAAGGATCCAGACCCCACTCAGAAGCAAGTCTTAGGTAGAAAATGAGCTACATCTCACTAAGAAAAGTGTACACCAAGCTGGGCTTTGACTGGCCTGAGGGAAATCAGTGGGGGTCCAGTTTTGTGCTGGGGATCAGAGGAGAAATATTTTGGGAGTCTCAGATTCTGGGATGGAGTAAGGAGTAACACTGTCTTATTCTCCACCCCTATAATCAAGCAGACAAATGCAACCCAAACTACTTGTGTAGTGACCGGTATAACACATGGAGAATGGGACCTTACCACTGCACTGACTGGAACAAGTACACCACATGCCTTCCCCGGCTGCCTAAGGTATCTGCTGTGCCCAGCACAGATGGGGTTTCGGACACTCGAGCACACACATGCACCTCCCAAACCACAGTGACTGATAATTCACCATTAATTACTCATCCTTTTGCCATTAAAAATGACCGAGGGCTCTTTCCCATATGTGAAATTAGGGTTTGTATTTCCTAGAAGACAAAGGAACCCAGGAGTGGAGCTGTGCTGGGTCTCTGGGTTCCAATCTCTGGCCAGGTTCTACCGGGACATGGTTAGTGTGCACTCTTTGATGTGCTGCCTTCCTGAAGCTTGCCACTTAGCTCCTTCCCACGTGTCTGGCCAAAGTATCAGTGATAGGCTGAGTCAACCTGCTCATCTCTCTCTTCCTTTGTGACCTAAGCAAGGACAAACCGAGGTAGAACAAGGCCACTCGTAAGCAGTGCAGATAAATATAGGAGAGTCTTTCAAGGAGAGAGGAAGGAATCCAGCGGCAGCCCCAGAACTAAGGGAAGAGGAAACGTGAGAGGCTCTGAGACCAGAGCAGGGGTTCTCAACTGTAGGCTGATGGCTGAACCTTTTTGAATCAGAACCTCCTCAAGAATCAGAACTTTTCACAAGTTCTCCCAGGGGATTCTGACGGGCAGGCAATATTGAAAACACCTATTAGAGACACCGAATTTTTTTTTAAAGAGGGAGAAACACGGAGACAGTGCTAGACAGAGTCAGCTAGACAAAGAAGGGTAAAATCAAAAGCAAACGCTGAGGCAGGATTGTCAGAGGTTCAGGTCCCCCCGTGGGTTCCAACTAGTTTCATTCCCTTCTCCCGCCCCCCAAGTAGGCGGAGTAAACGCGTTGCCCGGCGACAACTCTAAACACTCAGTGCCAGGGGGAGACGCCAGCACGTGGATGGCGGGATGAGGCGCGGCCTGGTACTGGTCTGCGTGTTCTGGGAGGGAGAACCCCCGAAAGAGGGTCCTTCTGAGTCAGAGATTGAGGTAGCCTGTGTCCCATTTCCAGGAGGCCGGGATGGAGACAGTAGTTCGAGGAATGCCGTTGGAGTACCCTCCTAAGCCGGAGCGACTCAATGCCTATGGTAACGGGTGGTGAGGTGGTGGAAGGGAACGGGGCGGGAGGCCAGAAAGAGAGTGGGGTGGGGACCTGTGCGATGGGGTGGAGGCCGAGGGCCCTGGAGAGGGTGTGACCCTGTCTCTACCTGTCTACCTGTTTTTGTCTGTATCTCTCCCTGTCTCCCACCCTGTCCCTTCCCATTCTTGTGACTGTCGGGGCCTGCGGGTCTGGGGACCTGCGGGCCCAGAGCGCGAGGTGGTGGTGAACATGCTGAACTCGCTGTCGCGGAGCCAACCACTGCCGCAGATCGCATCCCGATGCGGGTGCGCAGACCCGCTGCCGGGCCGCCTGCCCTACCAGGGTTATGAAAGCGCTTGCTCCGGCCGCCACTACTGTCTACGCGGGATGGACTACTGCGTCACCGGGGCACCCTGCAACGAATGCCGCCAGCGGCCTCTGTACCCAGTGCAGCCGACTGTAAGGTTCGCAGGGCCTCGCCCTGCTCAGCTGGGCCGTGCCCCCAAACAATCCGGGTCCCCAGAGTCCAGCCTTACCCTGGCTGCAAGCTCTCTATCCCGCACCACTTCTAGCCTGGACCTGCCTCTACACCAGGCCCCACCCCGCTCCATCCCGCTAGGCTCCCTCACTGGGTCCCGCCCTGTTCTGCCCTCCGCTCCACGGCCTGAACTGACTGCGGAAGGGGGAAAACCTGCAGGAAGATTCCCCCAAGTTTCCGATCCTGTCTCTCCAGAACCGTGCTCAAGGCCAACTTGGCTCCTGTATCTCTTCCGGAGGCCCCGCCGGAGGATTTTGTTAAGAAACCTTGCACATCAGTCACATCCCCTACCCACGCTCTCCAGCCCCACTCCCTACCTGGACACCCGGCCCTGGGGACCTGTTCTCAGAAGTGCCCTTTATTCCTGGGCCTCGGGTCACTGTCAGTAATGGGCAGGGTTACTGCCCAGTGGTAAGTGAGCAAAGAAATGGTGACTGGATTACCAGAACGGCCCCGGCCTCCTTGGAGCCTTGCACCACCTCCGGACGTAGACAGCCTCGCTTTTCACCTCTGGAAAAACTGAGGCCCAGGTGCCCAGTTGCAGCCGACTGTGGCGCGCGCAGCCTTCTCTCTGCACCCGGCGGCAGACAAGGAGGGCTGAACCTGGGAAAACAACAATGTCCACATCAGATTAGACAGTTATGCAGGGGTTATTCCCGAACCCTGTCCCTAATCCCATGGTGATACCCTCCGCTCCTTCCTAGGCAGAGAGAGACTGATTCCTTGTACGAGACTGGGTCTTATCCCTTACAAGGGCAGGGGAGAGAATGTGCCTGAGCCTCAGAAATGTCACCCCGTCGATAGTGGGGAGTACCTTGGCTAGAATCCGGGAACTCCCAGGTTCTCAACGACCCTCCCTAGAGTCCAGCATGTTGCACAGCCCAGCCTGGGAGTGGAAATGAGGCCTTACGGGGAGAGGGACTTCCAGGTGTCTTCCCAGAGGTGATGTTTCTTGGTTTCTCGAAGGGCCAGGAGGCCTGAGGGGAGAATCTCTGAGCCGTAGGACTGATTGCTGAAGCGTCGCTCGGAGTCCTGTTCCTGGCTGGAGGGTAGGGGAAAATCAAAAGGCCTGACCCCTCCCTTCCCACTGCTTCCTCCTCCAGGAGTGTATTGCCGTACGACCACCGGCCCGGAATGCAATGTGTTGTCATAACTCCCCCGCCACCATACTACCCATGTCCTAACCTTAGGTGAGTCTGGAGCACACCCGCAAATGCACACGCACACTGGAGGCTGTTTTCTTGGCGTGGCGGGGAACTCCGGGTTTAGTTGGGGTGGAAACTGTCCACTGCGATGCACTGATTGGAAGGTACCACCAGGGGGCGCGAGTGCCATGGGGAAGTGAAAAGTGGCAAGGACGTAGAGGACCCCATGAAGGCGGGGAGGTCTGCATTGAGCGGTTACAGGTTGGCAATTAGACGTAGAATCAAGGGATCAACGCTTTAGGTTCAGGGCTTGAAGTAGAGGGTAAGAAATCAATGTTAGGGAGCAGGTATTGGAAATAAAAAATTTGACGGTTGAACCCGAGGTCAGTGTTGGACCAGCATTAGGGGTAAAATGTTGAGATAAGGTTAGCATTGACATTGAAAATTGGAATCAGACAGATGAGGGTCCAAAAGGGCTAGCCCATCTCTCCTCACAGGTGGGACACAAGTCACTTTAAGAAGACTGGTGCGGCCCAGAGAAACAACTATGTTGTCCACCCTGAATTTGTGTCGGAAACCTTCTGACTACCGCTGCTGGTAGAGCCTGAGCCAGCCAGGCCAAGGAGGTTGAGCAATAAATAAACTTTTCACCCCATAGGCTGCCTCCTGTGTCCTCACCCAGCAAGATCTGTCAGGGAGGAAACATTCACTCAGGCCTCTGTCAAGCCCCCTACACTGATGTGCATATTCTCAAAGACAACCTGCCTTGAGCCCTCCCCACCCCCATCATCTCAATACTTACCTTAGGTGCCCCTGAGTGCCACACGCCATATCCACCTGGTGTGTTCATCTCCTCCACCCCAGAGCCCAAACTAGTAGGTCCACCTGGCCATGCAGGGAACACCCTCCAGCTAACATTTCTCCGTCTCCTAAACTTAGATGGTCCTCACCCCAGCATCTTAGTGGACCCAGAATCCTCCAATCTGCAGTCAGGGCCCTGTCCCTATACCCATAGCTCTTGATGTGTACTCGCAGTCAATCACAGCCTCCCAAAACCTATATTCAGACACCTCACTGCCCTCCCCCACCCAGGTCTAAAACAATTTTGGAGGGTTTCATGACCAAGAAATTTCAAATTACAAAACAAAACTCTGTTTCCATGTCCCTCAGGGAGCAAGGGGTTGGGTGTTCTGGAATCTCTGGGCATCCCACTCCTTCCTGGGGCGGGCGTTTGGCGGGGCATGCCCACTTCCTTGCAGCACAGGAATTTCCAACAGTTGTCGCGGGTGGGGGCAAAACACCCAGGAGAAGTCAGTCTTCTAGGTCCCTAACCTTGACTTATGCTGTTCTGGACCTCCCCTCTGGTGAAACCAAGATACCTCGGTGGGGTTCTCGATTGGATCTGCTCTCTACTGAGCCGCTGAGATTCTCCCGGTATTCCGCTACCCTTTTGCCATATGGGAAACTTTTTTCCATATGGAAGAGCTAGTGAGGAGAGCGTTATACCAAGACAGCCTCCACCTGTCCAAGTATGGATGGGAAGGAGTCCCAAGGGCCAACCCTGCCCCTTTACCCTGCGTCTCACTCCTTCACATACACATCTCAAATTTAGCCTGGAGGAGCAAGAACTCTAACCTTGTACATCTGTTCCTTCCTCCAAAACTACATTTCCCACGAGGCCTGGAAAAGCGCCCTGCCCTCCAGAGGGTGAGCAACGCCCAGGAGGGGACGGGCTCAAGGCGGGGGCGGAGCCGGGTGGCGAGGGGCTTGCAGCTGGCCGGAGATGTCCGGAGCTTGGCACCGAACAGTAGCGGGAAGGTGGGGGCCAAGGGGAAGGGCCTCAAGTCCGTGTGACAATGTGGGAGGTGCCAGGGGCGGGGCTGGACTCGGAGGCTCAGGCTAGAGCAAAAGACCTGGGCGTGACTGGACAGCCAGAGGGCGGGGCCTCAGCTGTCGGCAACTGGGCAGCGCTCCGCGCGGCGCTGCTGCAGCTCAACTCCGGCTACCTTGGATATCCGCAGGAGCCTACCTTCTCCGCCTCTTCTGGGGTCACTGCCGTGAGTGAGCTCAGGAGGAGAACCTTGGGAGGTTTCTGTGGGAGCAAACATCCTTAACTTTCACTCCTAACCGCTGAGTGGGTGGGGAGAGCCTGAGTGGCCCTGGTTTCCACTGGGAGACAGGCCCCTTGACCTCAGTTTGTCCCTTTGGATTTAGTAGCTGTTGGGCGGGACCCTGGGGGTGGGTGTGGAGTATTACAAGCTGTAGGCTCAGTCTCTCGATTCCCCCGGATCCCGCCGCTGAACAGGGAAATGGACTGGATCGAGTTGCCTTTGACATTTCCGCACAATCTCCTGGGAACTGTGTTCGACAAACCACATAGCTTAGAATGGCCTCCCCTCAGTTGGACCGGTCCGGGCCCTCCCCTTCATACCCGACTAGGGGCTGGCAGCCAAGAATGAGGTTGAGTGTCAAGTGGGGAGAGGCTTGGCTAGGGCCGACCCCACTGGCCTCCATTAGCCTGTGGCTGGTCTGATGGCGGAGACGGCAGGTTACAGGAGTCTGTAGCGCCACCGTTAACACGGGAACCACTGTTCTTCCCACACAGCCCGGGTACCAGATGTTATTAAAATTGTCCCTTTCCCACCCACAAGAATCCTTCCTAGAGCAAGCAGCGGCGCCAGCCCTTGAGAAAACAGGCCTGACCATGCCCACACCCACTTAATGGAAGCCTGTCGCAGCCTCTTGACCATAAAGCTCCTTTCCTCTGCTTCATTCAGACAGCTTGTCAGACTATTGTCTCCCGCCTCCTAAAACTTAGGCTAATGGAGGGTTAAGTTCGCTTTTTGAATTTGGGCAACCTTGCTATTTGGGTGACTTCAAACAAGTTTCTTTTTCTGATTGGGACACTGTTTCCTTATCTGCACAATGGACCCTGTAGCTATGCCTCCTTTTCAGCATTATTTTTAGGGTGAATGCTGTGGCATTTGGGAGACCTGCATGGGGCCTGCATGGAGTGAGTGCTCGGGCCTATGGGCTACTGTCCTTCATCGAAGAACCTTGGAATCCTAGAAAGATAAGATTCTCAGAAATTAAGGTTGGAAAGTTTTCTGAGGTCTCTTTGGCCTCTCCATGCTACTAGGGTCATGAGGCAGTCTAGTATAAAAGTTTTGAGAATGAGGGAGTCCTATTCAGATATGGACCTTTTCTCCTTATTCCCTTAGTGTCCAGAATGGGGCCTTGGTTGTCTTGAATGGATGAATATAAATGTATAGCCACTCTGGCATGGGCCACCTACGACCTTCTGTGGGTTCTGTTTAGCTTGAGAGCATCAGTTAATAAGGCTACTGCCTGTGTTTCCCAGGAGAACTTTTCTGAACTGTACCTACAGGAAGTGGAGTCTATACCGGTGTGGGGAGTTGGAAAACTAAGCTATGTGGGCTGAGAGGAAGGGAATAAGAGGCTGTTCCAGACCAGCCAGACTGACCAGCTCAGGGAATGGGGGGGGGGGAGCAGAGAACATAGAAAATGAAGCCCTGAGATAACAACTTGGGGAGGGGCAGTGTGGGGAGCTGTATATTAACATCTGGGGTCAAAATTCTGATCTGCGTCTGGCATTCTTAATAGTCTCTTCATGAGAGAGTTGGGGGAGGTGAAGATCCTGAACAGTTCTGGCATCTAGGGAAATCACGGGGGACTTAGAAACAGACACTGGCATCTGGGAGGAGACTAATTACTGTTTGCTAGTCTCCTTCTCCCCTTCCCCCTAGCTGGTGCAGCTGCCTGGCTGGCAGTATGTATGTCTGTGTATGCACCTGGCTAGGGCTATTTCTTTGTTGGACTCTGCCCTGAAGGCTAAATCAGGGAGGGCCAGTGGCCTTGAGCAGCAGATTGCAACACACACCTTCCACAAATCTATGTTTCCCTGCAGGCATGTTTGGATGTTGAACATGCAGCGTGCGAGAGCATATATGTGTATGCGCTGGGAGGTGGTCTGATCCCTGGAGAGCTGGTAGGTTGGGGAGAGATGTTGGCCTAAGGTGGGTGGTTGAAATCTCCTAAGGCAGGTGGCCGGAAGGATTTAGGGTGGAGAAGAAATGAACTTGGGTCGTTATAGGGTAGGCCTGGCTGAAAACGAATCAGAAAGACAGATGAGACCACATCATGCGTTGTAGCTCAATTGCAAAACTTACACTTCTGAATTTCATCATGGAGGTCATGAGAAACTCTCTAAATTAGGAAGTGATGTGGTCTGATAACTTCTTTTTCAAGGTTTTATTTATTTATTTTTAGAGAGAGGGGAAGGGAGGGAGAAAGAGAGGAAGAGAAACATCAGTGTGTGGTTGCCTCTCATGTGGCCCCCAATGGGGACCTGGCCTGCAGCCCAGGCATATGCCCTGACTGGGAATCAAACCCGTGGCCCTTTGGTTCCCAGCCCGCACTCAATCCACTGAGCTATACCAGCCAGGGTTGATAACTTCTTTAGAGGGTTCACTATGGTTGCTATAAGCAAAAGGCATTGCAGGAAGGAAGTTGAGGGCAGGGAGGTCTATGGGGGAAGTGTTGAAATAATCCAGGGGAGAAGAGACTGTCCAAAACTAGGGCAAGGGCAGCAGGACGGTAGGCGATTGGCAGAGACAAAAACAGGTAGTAGCTGGCCCACAGCGGTGGTGTTGGGAGCAGAGCAGGAAGGTGGGGAGGGAAACGGACCTGATGAACAATGGCTGCAAACAGGGTGGAATTTGAGGACAAAGTCAGGGAGCAAGAAGCCACCATGGCGCCTGAGCCAGGCTCCTGACCCCAGCCCCACTGTCTGAACCCAGCCCTGCCTCCTTCCAAACCAAGCCCTGGGACTGATCTAATCTCCGGATTTAATCTGGCTTCTGTTTAAATTCCATGCCTGAGCTGCTGCTCCTTCCTCTCTTCTGTCCCCTTCTGGGCACAAGGAAAGTCATCCTACTACCCTGTTAAAGGTCTCAAGGAGCCGACTGAAGCATGCCGCACCCCCACCATGGCCACAGCTCTGGGACACCAGGTCCTCTCCAGATCCTTCCCTTTCTCTTCAGCTTGAACTGCCCCCCTGTGTGATCCCAGGAGGCCTCACATTCTGTGGTCTGGACAGCTCCCTGACCTTGTCTGGTGGTGTTTCTTCCCCACAAAAATGGGATGCATGCCATCTGCCCCTCCCCGTTCAGAGTCCTAACTAATTTTGGCAAGTATCAGGGCCCTTGAGAAAGGGTAAGACACAGATTGTCCTGTTAAGTCTCACCTTTGCCATTTCTCAAACCCTTAATTCCCAGAATACACCTTCCCAAAATATACACCTCTCTTTTCTGGCTGCAGCAAATGGAGATACTATGGAATGAGAAGGTCAGTTCTGCCTCTCTCTTCGCCTTCCAGACTGTGGCAGACCAGGTTCAGATGGGCTTTGTCAGGTGGCCCCACTACTTGCTCCTTCCATAACTGAGGGCCGATGCCCCAAAGTCCTCCAGAGAAGAGCAAGGCCTACCCCCGCCGACGCCCTGGGCACGACACAGGCCGTGAGAGACCCGAGGCTGCCTCAGCCACAGCCATGTACACCTTCCTGCCTGACAACTTCTCGCCTGTCAAGCCCAAGCCATCAAAAGAGCTGAAGCCGCTGCTGGG